GAAACTGTTTTGTCTACAGAAGGTACTGAGCTCCCGATTCTCGCTGCACCGGCACCCGCCCAGGTGTTACGCCAACGCCTCAGGCGGGCACGGATCGTGCATAGAGAATGTGAAGCACTGTATCAGGTAGATAAGCGTGACTTGGGCTTCCTGCCACGCGAATGACAGGCACTGTGCGGCGTGTCAGCGAAGCGCATAGAAGTGTATGGCAGGTGGTGTGTACGATGCAGGCACAGATGCTGAATCCGAATGCCACGCGTTGGGCTGGCGTGATAACGTACGAGCGTGCGGCTGGGGCAGTCTACAACAGGAGCGCGCGTACCGGGAGCGCCTCTGCCGTCGAGCATGCGCTCGGTCCGGAGCTTCTCTGCTTGGGACGAACAGCATTAGCACACGTCCACGGAAGCATAGACAGAACGCACGCACGTCCTCGCCCCACACGCATGGGTCACGCGGCGAAGGGGTGGGAGTAGTCATGATTGTGTCGCAAAACGCTGGTGACATTAAAAACTTTTTGGGCAGTTCTTATACGCGACTTGGGCCTGTGCCCTTAGGCAATGCTCTTCCACCATGTCCAGACACCTCCGAGAGACGAGCGAGTCACTCACTCACGCTTGCCCGACGCCGTCAGCCCAAAAAGCCGAGACCATCTGCGGAGAGTCTGCGAAGTCGCTATCGCCTGTGAATGTCTATGATTAATTGGTCGGGTAGTCGTCTGTCGTTCCGAGAACGAACAAGCGAGTCAGTAATTTACCGCTTGCCTCGGTGAAAACTTTCAGCGGAGTCAGACCTTATCTAACATAGAATATAAAAGGAGGCCACCATTTACAAAGATGTCGTGCAGCAGGTGAGTGTACGGTCCCAGCCGAGGACGCACTGACTCGCAGAATCCGATGGGCATAGGAGGCCTATGAGAGTGAGCCCAGACCCCAAAGCGGTCTCCCGGGGCGCCTTCATATCACGTGCACCCGGGACCCCGATCGATCGCAAACGCCACGACGCTACCAAAAATCTTCACATTCCCGCTCTCGATCCAGCCGCATCTTTCCAGATCTCTCCCTCTCCCTTCATATACCTGGCTGCGAGGGGAGTCACCGCATTCCTCCACGACGATACTGACGATAGCGACAAGCCAGTGTTATCTCAGCTACGAGCTCCAACTCACACTTAGTTCAAGGTTCATCGTCCCGAGGTACGCAACAAAGAATCGATAGACAAGGGCTGACTACTTTACAAATTTCAAGACAAGTTCAGAACTATTTCTCTGCGCTATGTTGGATAAGAGACCATGTGTCGCTACATCATAATGAAGTCCAGCTGCATCCTGGGGTTCTGCGTTGTCGCCGGCTGGTGTGCGACGATCGGAGGCAACGCGATGTTGTACGGCGGGTTAGGGAGACCGGCGAGTACCTGGGTGATTGGCGGGAGGTATATAGTGGCGGGCGGAGGCTGGTGTGCGATGATTGGAGGCAGCACGATGTTGTACGGCGGGTGAGGGAGACCAGCGAGTACCTGCGCGATTGGCGGGAGGTAAGTAGGCACGGGCAGACCTGGTGCGGCGGGCGGAGGAGGTATGACGACGAATGCACCTTGGGCCGGCTGCGTGGCCGGCGCGACGACGGCGGGCATCGGCGCAGCGACTGGCGCGGCCGGCGCGGGGGCAGGCGGAGCAACGGCCGCGACGGGCGCGGCAGTCGGCAAATTGGCAGCACCTGCCGCGTGGACTCGGTCACGATTCCCCACATGGCGAGATGGATGGCAGAAGGACGGGCGGAGTGGGCTGCGCCTGTTGCGCTTAGGCCTGGGACCCTCATGGTCACGGTCGTCCCGGTCGTCTTCTCTGGGGCCGGCGGCAACGTTCTCCTTGTTCGCGGCGTGCCTCTTTCGGGGCCCTTCATCGACATCCTCTTCCTTGACTTCCTCGACCTCCCGTGCTCTCTTCTTTCCTCTCTGGTTCTTCATCTTAATGGCGTCCCGGTAGCCGCTTATGGCGAGCGGCGCTGGGACGTGGTCGGCACGGCTCGAAGGTGGGTCGTACCGGAGGTGGTGGTTGCTAGACAAGGCAGCGCCTTGCCCGGCAGTATCTATTGCTACCTGGTTCGACGCGAACTGAACAGCGGTAGATACCGCTGTGCGAGTCCCTCGCCGAACATCGTCGTCTCTGGGTGGCTGGCCGCTGTATTCAGGGATACGCGACGGCTGTCCAGGACTTGAGCGAGC